CCCCCAATTACTTTATCACACATTTGGCTCCACACATAGCCCTGACAATACTATTGACTATATTTCTTTTTAACAAGTTCTTTTTCATTATATTTCTCCTTGTGGCTTTTATTAGCCTTAAGTAGCTTCCTCTATCTACTTTAGGGTAAAATGTCCTCAGAATAAAGATTTCCTATCACCTTATCCCCTGGGATACCTATCCCCACACCAATTCTCTCCTGACAGGGTCTCTATTTTCAAGCTCTTTTCCAAGAAGAAAAGTGAATTATCTATAGAAAGCCACCTTCCTTACTAATTTTTCATCCTAACCCATCTTTGGCCAGTTTGACATCATCTTTACTACAGAATAAATTGCAAATCAGCTTAAATTTAAAACAGAGAATTGGTCACTTAAAATTATTTCAAAAAATATAATGGTATTTGCTTGGTAGTTCCCTTCTGAAAAATCACAGTTCCAGTATCATAATTCTACTAAAGTTTACACAACAAAAATCCTTTCTCTCAGTTGAACTTATGTACTTGCTTGAGGGGATACTAATATTTCAAACAAAAAGAACCGTTACTAAAATCTGGGGACATTCTTGGCTTTCACTTTGGTAAATAAAGAGTTCCATTTTGTTTTCTTTCTCAAGGACAAAATTCTTCACAAAATGAGAAAATGAGATGCTTCGCCTTGGCTAGAAAAAGGAAAGGTCTTAGAATTCCAGTCAGGACAGTGGAGTAGATATAAACACTGTGCTTGTCTCCTCCCATGACCACATCAGAATTACAATGAAACTACAGAACAGCCATCTTTGAGAACCACCAGAAGAAGCCACGTAAAGACTGGTAAGAGGTGTGAAGACACAAAATGGGTAGGTCTCGTACCTATGGTGTGGCAGTTAAGAAAACGGAGGATATCTTGGCTGCAGAGATTCCCCACTAAAGAGTGAGGTGTTTCAACCCAACACCAGCCTCCCCAGCCTGAACCACTAGTGCAGGAAAGTGAAGTCCCCATAACTTCTGGCTGTAAAAACCATCAGGGACTGTGGCTTAGATAATTGTGGCTGAGTGAGACAGAGGGCTGCTGGAGAGCCAGGCGCTCCTCTTAAAGGGTAGCACAGACTTACTCATTGACAGACTCACCTGCTCTGATGTCCAGAGCTGGGGCAGCACCTTTAAAAGCACCAGGAACATAAAGAGAGAAAATGGACTGGCTTCAGGGCAAGGGCTGCAAGGGCAGCTTTCTCCCAGACAGAAGTGCTGGTAGAAGCCACTGTTGTTGTTTTTTTATTAAGCCTTCTCCACATCCAGCCTGTAGGTGCAAGTGGGTGCCAAGTTTGGGTCTCTAACAACCTGGCTAATACTGTTTGCCCACCGTGGTGATCACCTGAGACCCCAAGTCACCAATTTATGGGTCAACCAAGATGTTTCTAATTGTTTTTCCATACAAATGGTCTATCTTGGTTCATAGTGTGGACTTTCCTAAAATCTTTCAAAGGTTTACAAGCTCCAAATAAGCAGTATCTGACCTTAGCATGCCCCATACATCTTGCTAAGTGGCTTGAAGCCCAGCTTCAGTGACAGCCAGCCTTGGTTCACAACTTAGCCTCTCCCAGCCACCTCCAAGCCCAGCACAAGTGGCAATAATATGAAGAGTTGTTTTTTTTTTTTGTACTTCATACCAGTGGCTCCTGGCAGGGCATTGGCAACGGCTGTACTTGGCCTACACCAGAGCCCCTCCCAAGAGGCCTCAGAATCAACAAACCTGGTGGCCAGCTTGAGACCACACCAGTACACTACCCAACCGCCTCCATGAACAACATATCCAAAGGGCAAACTTAGCATGCACCACAGCCCCGGTAAAGTAAATCCTACTCTGCAGGGTCAGCCACTGCACAACAGATCCTCCACTCTAGTCATGGCCAATCCTCATAGCCAATCAGTCTGAGGGTCAGACTCTCCTATTAATGTGCCAACAGCAATCAAGGATCAACTACAACAGAAGAGCACACACAACCCACACAAGGGACCCATCTTGAGCAACTGGCTCAAATGACCAAGGAGACTGCACTGCTGGGCCCCACAGAACACATACTGCATAAGTCTACTCTACCAAGACTGGGAGATGTAGCAGCTCTGCCTATTGCATAGAAATCAAAACAGGTAGGTAGCCAAAATGAGGGGACAAAGAAACGTCCCAAATGAAAGAATAGAATAAAACTCAAGAAAAAGAACTAAACAAAATGGGCACAAGCAATCTACCAGATGCAGAGTGCATAACACTGGTTATACTGATGCTCAATGAACTTAGGGGAAGAGTGGATAATCTCAGTGAGAAATTTAACAAAGATTGAAAACAAAAAAGAACCAGTCAGAATTGAAGAATATAATAGCTGAAATAAAGAATACATTAGAAGGAATTAACAGCAGATTAGATGAAGCAGAGGACTGAATCAGCGATTTGGAAGACAAGGTAGAGGAAAACACCCAACTAGAACAGCAAGAAGAAAAAAGAATCCAAAAAAAATGAGAATAGTTATCCTCTGGGATAACATCCAGTGTACCAACATTTGTATCATAGGGGTACCAGAAGGAAAAGAAAGAGAGCAAGGAATTGAAAATCTGTTTGAAGAAATGCTGATAGAAAACTTTCATAACTTGGCAAAGGAAATAGACATACAGGCCCAGGAAGTGCAGAGAGTCTCAAATAAGATAAAACTAAAGAAACCAGTATAGATGCCTGGTTGGCTGGCAGTTCTCTTTCCACCTCACTGCAATGCAGAATGTGGTTTCTGCAAGCCCCATTGCACCTCCCGCCTCAGCTAAGATTTTAGTGGTTTAACCCCACCTCCAGCCCCAATATAGATTCTGACCATTTTCACTCAGAGCAATTTTTTCTTCTTTGATTTAACTTCAGTGCTGGTGTGTAATCTGAGTAGGTATGATTAAAAAGAAGCCCAGGACTTTTGTTAGTTAATTTGGGTAGGCAATATCCTCTTTCATCTTTTGGATAGAAATAAAGAATCATGTGGCCTCAGGCTGTTTGCAATTCGCTTGTCCCCATGAAGGGGTTTTGCAGTGGAACAAGCCAATACCTAATGAGGCAGGCTCACAGAACTCTGGTTGAATAGAGCCTGAAGTCCAGCTTCCTTTGTATGTTTCAGTAATGTGAAATAATAATTGTTTAAGCCTCTTGGAGGTGGATTTTCTGTTACTTGCAACCCCAGGAGGGGACTCTCCTACCTTGGTAGGGCTGAATGGGCATCCCTCAGGGTCCCAAATCCAAGTCTAGTCTTTTTCTGCTTTTCTTTCTGCTGTAAGCATCCAATTTTCATTTCCAATGGCTTTTCTCCACACGCCCCTCCTCTTTTTTTTTTTAAAGGATTAAATAAATTTTTATTTTTATTTTATTTCAGCCATATATATTCACAAATTAGATAGTTAAATAGTTCTTAAAAGAAAAAGAGAAATCGCCAACCTACATTCTCACCCACAACTTCTCTCCAGAAGCAGTCCCTGTCAATTCATTTCACTGTTTCTTCTGGGCTTTAGCTCCTATTGTTAAATAACGTTTTTATACAGCTATTCATCATTCTCTAGGTTTAGTTATTATGCATTTTTTTGTGTGATGGAAGATGGGGACTTAGATATCTTACACCCTTTCTCCCCCACATACAAATTCTCTCCCTCATTTCTTGAAAAAAAAAAAGTTGCATCATAGTATTTTGCAATTTATATTATTCTCTATGCAAATATTACTCACAGCTAAGCTACATAGTATACTATTTTCTTTCTTAAACAATAGTTTCTTTTTCCCTTGTTTTTAATAATTGCTTTGTCTTTTCACTTGCTTCTTTTTTTTTCACTAAGTTCTCCAAGAAAAAAATAAATGCCTCCAATGTGTGCAAATTAATTAGTTTGTTTTTCTGCTGTGTATCAATATCTTGGGAATTCTTTTCACCTTTCTCCTGTGTTGGATTCCTTATTTCCTAGATGTCATGTTTTACTCTACCTTGGTTTAATCTGTTATTTTGGAGGAGCACATCCTCCAGTAAGTTTCTGATAAACCTACTAGATAATCTGCTGATAAAAATGGCAAGGGTGAAAAAATGTTGAGACCTTTCATACTGAAAATGTCTATCTTTTCATTCATTTGTTGGTCTTTTCCATACCTGGGCCTTTTCCTCCAATGTGTAGTAGTCATTGATTGTTCATAATTAAGAGTGAGACTCTAACAGGTTAATCTCTGTGAGTGAAAGAGCTTAGCTGCAGTGTGGGCTTCCCTGTCAAGTAGGCAGGCCCTGACTTTTGTGTTGGGGAATTCCCACCAGTCTGTATTTGTTGGTCTTTCTTCTTGGGTAGAGAGGTTTTTCCATAGGAGGATCCTCCAGGCTCCCCTCTTAACAGAATATGAATCTGGCATCATTCTTGTTGTTAAGTAAGGGAAGGGCTCTGGGCTCTTGCTCACCATGAGGACTTTCACTTAGTCCCTCCCAAGCTGAAGAATATCATCTCCCTCCCATGCTTCACTGTGCCTGGGGTCAACAAATCCAAAGAGAAAACTTTGGTCTTCAGTCTTCTCATGAGAGTGAGGAGGCTTAGGAGCTGGTGGGGGAAGGGAAAGCTTATTCTGACTTTCAACCAAATTTCCTGGAGGGCTGTAGAGAGAACAGTGGGAGAAGCTCCCAGCCAATCCTTCTTCACAGACGTTTTTAAAACTCTTATGAGCTGTATGAACTTGAACACGTTTCATAATCTCTCTGAGCTTCAGTTTCTTCATCTGTAAAACAGGAACATGAGGCTTTGGTGTGAGGGTTAAATGGGATCAATAAACATGAAGTGTGTGGCACAGTCTGTCCAGCATGAAGAAAGCACTTAGTTGCTGGCAATACAATGGTGATAATAGTTGGTAGTCTCCTTAGCCTTGTTTCAGTGAACAGAAATGATCCCCTCCCACTATCCTGTGCTTTTCTACACTCTCTCGAAAGGAATGCTACCTTACTTTTGTTCTGCCAAAATGTTAATAGAATTTCAGGGGTATAACAACCTCTGCAACTTGTCTTCCACACCACTCTCTCTTGAGGGCCAACCAAACCCTTAGAGCCATCTCCTCTATTCTGGCTCCCATCCTAATGGATTAACATGTAGGACTGAAAACTGCAGTGACATTAGTCTGAACCCAAATCGTATCAAGTAAATGTTGGGAATCAACCTTGTTGGAAATGGTGTAAATATATGCTCATTTGGAGACTATGTGTGAATAAAGGTGGACACGAGAAGACAAGCACAGGCCTTACCTAATGACCCCTTCCATTCTTGTTTCATTTTTTTAACCACACACAACCAAGAAAGCTGTACTTTGTCTTCTGTGGATGGCCTTTTCTGAATGCAGACCTTAGTCTCTCCTTAAAATTCTCCCCAACGAAGTAATAAAGCAAAGGGTTGAAGCAGGTATTTGCTGCCGCCAAGGCCAGTGTGATGATCACGGCCTTATGCAGCCTTTCTCTGCATGTATTCACTTCCCACACAGCCAGGTGGAAGGTTCTCAGTATGTGATAGGGCAGGAAACACAGAAGGAAGATGATCAAGGCAATGGCGATGGTGGTCAGTGCCTTCCTGTGAGAAACTCGCAGCCTTGACTCTGGGACTTCCATCTTTAACAAGGCTCGAATGATCAGCAGGTAACAGATGTTGAGTGTGCAGAATGGCAGCAGGAAGCCCACCACCAAGGAGATATAGTTCATGGTCTTCAGTTTAATAATTTTATTTAAATTCAGCTCCAAGCATAATGTGACATTACCCTTCTGCTCAGAGCCACTGTTCAGAAGCATTGTTGAGGAAGCCATGATAAAGATCCATATGATCACACACAGAACCCAAGCACTTCTGATGCTGGTGACATGGAGGAACCGAAAGGGATGAACAGTTGCTAGGAAGCGCATAATGCTCAGCACAGTCAGGAAATAAATGCTGCTGTACATGTTGACATACATGGAATAAGACATAATCCTGCAGGCCAAGTCCCCAAATATCCAGTTGGAGCCTCTGATGTAATAGTCAGCCCTGAAGGGTAGTGTAGTTGTAAACAAGAGATCTGAAATGGCCAAGTTTAGCATGAAAACATTCACAGACGTGGACTTCTTATGAGGCTGCAGAAAAATATATATGGAAAAACCATTTCCCAAGGCTCCCCAGACAAATATTATCAGATACACAATAGGATAAAAATCCCTCTTGAAGTTTTCATTTGTGCAATTCTTATAGCTGTTGTTATTGCTGAAGGTGCCATTGGGTTCTATTTCTGATGTGGAGATAGACGAAGGCAAGGACATAAATTTTCTCTCCATGCTGGATTAAAAAAAAACAAACACAAAACGTTACTTTCTGCTCACTGTTTACATCTTTCCAGGTTTTAAGAAAATAGGGAGAAGTACTAGCTTTTCTTTCAAGCTTGAGTCAACAAATATCAGCTTAGTCTTTACTATACTTTTTATTATATTTCATGATACATTTCTAGAATGTAGAATAAACGCTAATTTATTTAATTAAATCTGAAGCCTCAAATTTGGAGGACTTTTGGCCTAGTGCCCATGTTGACCTGAGTGCTCTGTAACATGGCAGTCTAAATCTACTGGGCAGCAGGTTTCTGAACAGAATCTGCTGAAGACAGAAGGAAGTGGTACAATATTTTTCAGGTGCTGAAAGAAAAGACCTATGAACCTAGAGTCCTATATCCAGCAAATATATCCTTCAAGTATAAAGAAGAAATCAAGACAATCTCAGATGACGGAGAACTAAGAGAATTTATCGCCAGCAGACCTACTTTAAAAAATACTAAAAAAAGTTCTTTAAACAAAAGGAATCAATAAAAGCAGGCTTAAAATATCAGAAAAGAAGAAAGAACACAATAAGCAAAAATATGGATAAATGCAATAGGCTTTTCTTTTTCAGTCTAAGTTACATTTGATGGTTGAAACAAAAACTATAACACTGTTTGATGTGGTTTCAAAAGGGTGTAGAGGAATTTTTAAATATAATTATATAAATTGAGGAGGCTAAAGGGACATCAAAGAGGTAAGGTTTCCACACTTCACTTGAACTGGTAAAATGATAATGCCAATAGACTGTGGTAATGTAGGTATAATGCATTACCTAAAGCAGTCACTAAAAAGCTATACAAAGAGATATATTCAAAAACCTTAGAGATAAATCAAATTAGAATTCTAAAAATTATTCAGCTAACCAAGAGAAAGGCAGGAAGAAGTTGACGATACAAATGGAAAAGAAAAAAAGTCAGACTTGTTCCTAACAAATCAATAATTACATTAAATATAAACAGTTTAATTATACTAATTAAAAGACAGGTTGGCAGACTGGAGTATAAAAAAGTACACATATGACCTAATTATATGCTGTCTACAAGAAACTCACTTCAAATAACAGTATTGGCAGTTTGAAAGTAAAAGGATGAAAAAATATGTCTTGGAAACATGATCAAAGGAAATCAGAAGTTGCTGTTAATATCAAATAAAGTTTAGACTAAGAAAATAACAGAGACGTAGAGGACATTATATAATGAAAAAAAAGTTTATTAACCAAGAATACATACCAATTCTAAATGTAAATGCACTAAGCAACAGAGTTGCAAAATACGTGAAACAAAAACTAATAGAATTGAAAGGAAAAATAGAAAAACCCACAATTATAGTTGGTAACTTCAAGACCCTCACTCAACAATTGATAAAGCAACTAGACAAAAACTCAGCTGAGATAAAGAAAAACTCAAACACATCATCAACTAATAGAACCCAACTGACATTTATAGACATGCCATTCAACAATAGCAGAATACACATTCTTTTCAAATGCCCACAGAATATATACCCAAATAAATCACATCCTGGGCCATACAGCAAACCTCAACAAATTTAAAAGAATTGAAACCATACAGAGTGTGCTCTATAAATATAACGTAATCAAATTAGAAATCAATATCAGAAAGATGACGGAAAACTCTACAAACACTTGAAAACAAAAACACACTTCTAAATAATCCATGGCTCAAAAAGAAAGTCTCTAACAAAGCCAAATAATATATTGAACTGAATGAAATGAAAATACAACATATCGAAATTTGTGGGCTATAACAAAAGCAGTGCTGAGACAGAATGATATAATACTAAATGTATACATTGCAAAAGGAAAAGTCTTAAATCAATCATCTAAGCTCCCATATCAAGAAGCTATAAAAAGTGAAATCAAAAGCAAGTTAAAAGAAGGAAATAATAAAAATAAGAGCAGAAATCAAAGAAATTGAAAACAAAAAAATAGAGGAAAATCAATAAAACAAAGAACTAGTTCTTTGAAAAAATCAATACAATTGAAAACTTATAGCAAGATGGACAAAATAAAAAATAGAGCAGACATGAATTACTGTTATTAGGAATGAAACAGGAAACCATTATAGGCACTGCAGATATCACAAACATAAAATTGATAACTTCAGTGAAGTGGACCAATTCCTCAAGAAATACAAACTATCCTAACTCATCCAATATGAAATAGATAATCTGAACTAATAAGGAAATTAAATTCTTAATTTAAAACTTTCAATAAAGAGATCTCCAAATCCAAATAGTTTCACTGGAGACATATACCAAATATTTAAATAAAAATTAACATCAATTCCATACAACAGGGGTCCCCAACCCCCAGGCCATGGATTAGTCCGTGGCCTGTTAGGAATGGGACCGCACAGCAGGAGGTGAACAGCAGGCAAGTAAGCAAAGTTTCATCTATATTTGCAGCTGCTCCCTCAGCTCCACCTCAGATCATCAGGCATTAGATTCACATAGGAGCACTGGTCCCTGATGCCAAAATGGTTGGGGACCACTGCCATATAACATCATCTGGAAAATAGAACAGGACAGTACGCTTTCCAATTTATTTTGCAAAGCTATTGTTACCCTGATATCAAAACCAGACAAAGGCAGCATAAAACAAAGAAATAAAAAACCCACAAAAGACTACAGACCAATATTCCTTATGAAAATGGATGTAAAATCTCTTAGGAAATAGAATTCAGCAATATACAAAAGAATTTTACACCATGACCAAGTAGGGTTTATTCCATGGATTCAAGGCTGGTACACTGACTATTTTTAAATAATGAAATAGCCTTGAATCCACAAAAGAAAAATCACATGATCATATCAATCAATGCAGACAAAGCATTTGACAAAATCCAATGGCTAATCATGATCTAAACTCTCAGAAACAGAGGAATAGAGGGGATTTCCTCAACTTAATAAAGATCATCTCAAAAAAATCTACAGCTATCATATTTAATGGTGAAAATTTGAATGCCTTATTCCTAAAATTGGGAACAATGCAAGAATGTCCACCATCACTGCTCTTATTCAATATAGTGCTATAAGTTCTAGCCAGTGAAATAAGGCAAGAAAGGAAATAAACATCATACAAATCAGAAAGGGGGAAATAAAATACTCTCTGTTTGCAGATGACATGATTGTTTACATAGAAAATCACAAAATCTATGCAAAAGAAGTCCTAGAAGTACAACTGAATTTAACAATGTTGCATAAACATACAAAAATCTATTGTGTTTCTATATATACTTGCAGTGAACAAATGGATGCACTGAAATTAAAAATACAGTTCAATTTTCAATTATCCAAAAATAAAATGATATACTTGTGTAAATCTAACAAGACATTACAAGAGTTTTATGCGGAAAACTACAAAATGTTGATGAAAGAAATTTAACTTCTATTCAATGGAATACATACCATGTTCATGGATTGAAAGGTCAACAGAATAAAGATATAAGTCTTCCTCAAATTGATATACAGGATTCATGCAATTCTTAATAAAATCCTTTTAAGGCTTTTTTGTGCATATAGACAAGATAATTCTAAAATTAATGTGGAAAGGCAAAGGAACAAGAACATTTTGAAAAAGAAAATTGAAGTGATAAGAATCAGTCTACCCAATTTCAAGCCTTATTTTATGACTAAAGTTATCAAGACCGTGCTACTGAAAGGATAGACACATCAGTCAGTGAAACAAAATAGAGAACCCAGAAACAGATTCACACAAATATGCCCAACTAATTTGACACAGATGCAAAAGTGATCCAACAAAGCAAAGATAGTCTTCTTGGAGGTGCTGGAGCAGTTGGTTATCCATAGGCAAAAGAATGAAACTGGACCCAAATCTCACATTTTATACAAATATAAACTAAAATGGATCATGAACTAAATATAAAATGTAAAACTATAAAATTTTAGAAAAATAAACATAGGAGAAAATCTTTGAAATCTAGGGCTAGAGAGAGAATTTTAGACTTAACAACAAAAATGTGATTTGTAAAGGAAAATAGATAAATTAACTTTGTCAAGATGAAAAATTTTTGTTCTGCAAAAGGCCCTGTTAAGATTGAAAAGACTGGTAGAGAATATCCACAAACCAAATCTGACAAAAGACTAGTATCTAGAACATATAAAGAACTCACAAAACTCAATAGTTAAAAAACAACAGCAAAAACAATCCAATTAGAAAATGGGCAAAGGACATAAAGAAATATTTCAGATGGTTTATAGATAACAAATAAGCATATAAAAAGTTGTTCAACAGCATTAGCCATTAGGGAAATACAAATTATAACTTCAATGAGATATAACTACATACTTATTAGAATGGCTAAAATAAAAAATAGGGACAACGCCAAGTACAGAGAAACTGGATCACTCATACATTGCTGGTGAGAATTCAAATTGATACAGTCCCCCTGGAAAACAATTTGGCAGTTTCTTTAAAGACTAAGCATGAAAATATAATTCAATAATTTCACTCTTGGGAATTTATCCCAAGAAAGTGACAATGTATGTCCACACAAAAACTTGTTTATAGCAGATTTATTTGTAATAAACAAAAACTGGAAACGAGACAGATGATTAAATAATTAAACTTAAATAAAATTTTTAAAATTCAATGGTTAAATAAACTGAGGTACGCACATACTGTGGAATACAACTAAGTTACGAAAAGGAGTGAACTATTGATACATGCAATAACTCGGATAAATTTCCAGGGAATTACACTCTGTCGGAAAAAAAAGCCACTCCCAAAAGACTATATCAAGTACTCTTCCATTTATATAACATCTTTGAAATGACAAAATTATAGAATTGGAGAACATAGATTAGCAGTCACTAGGAATTAAGAAGGTGTTGGGATGGGAGGGAAGTGAATATGGTTATAAAAGACCAGCTTGAGGAATCTGTGTGATAGGAATGTTCTGTATCATAACTCTCAATATCAATAT